TATAAAGAAATCTTTTCACAGATTTATCTGTTTCTATATATCTGAACTTGCTTTCGGCGTGTCCCTGTCAATCGGTTGCAGCATATCCTTGACAGTTTAGCTCACCTCAGCACACCTGGCCAGGCCAATAACTAACGGTATATGCTTCATACACTGTGCTAAATTTTTAGCCAATTAGAGCAATTATCTCAGCTCAGGGCTAGCACGCGATCCATCGATCTCTGTGGCTTGACATGACATTTGAAAGGCGATGCGATGCGGCCGCCGCATGGTATACTTAATGGCAGCGCCTGTGCCTGGCCCTGTCCTGGCTGTCACGGCGTGAACTTTGGGCTGTGCGCTAGGCATTGTATGCGCGTGCCGCGGCACTTCGAGAAAGTTAGATATTTGCCGTGTTTGGCTGTTGTGTTACGACCGCACAAAAAGTCGTAAAACCAGTTGATGCAATTTTCCAGTGCGAAAATTAACAAATACACACACACACACACATGCACGCACACTCACACTCACACACGCACATGCAGTTTGCGCTCGAGAATTCAATTTGTGCAGAGAAAACGGAATCCCAGTGGGCGGCAGCGAGGGGGCCTGGGCTGGTTCGACTGCATCGTCTGTTTACTTGAGGTTTTTTAACGTTGAGGCCCAGCCGGAAGGAAGTGCAAGCGAATAAACTGAGCACAGCACAAATACGTCCCGCAGGTGGGCGCGCTGGCAGCTGGGGGCTGCGAGCGGCGAGCTGCGAGCTGCGAGCTGGATTTGGCTAGCGCGGTCACAAGAAAGTGGCTCTCAGGTGGTGCAGCAGTTTTTACCTATTTTTTCTCTATTTTTTTCTTGCATTGGCGAAATTGGCACAAGCGGAAGAGACCGACGTTTGCCCCACAACATGTACTGGTCGTCCCCCGCCGCCGTTTGCCCCTGCCCCGATGCGCTGCAAGCAGTTTATTTATTAGGAAATTTAATTTCACATGGAAAAACGTCGAGAGGCGGCTGCACTTGGAAAAATCGCTCACGAGTTGCAACTAATATGCTAAAAACTGAGCAGCAGCTGGCATGAAGGATGCCGCCAAAAGTGGCACTTGCAACCCTTCCGCCAGCCACTCCACAGACGCCAGCCCAGAGATATAGCCGCAGATACAGATACAGATACAGCACTGCTATAGTGCTGCCATCCACATGGTCGCAGACCATAAGCAAACACAAATGATGGCAATCTGTTAGTATACTTAGCCCACACCCCCTCCCCCTCCGCTCCAACCACTCACAGCCACCCCCTTCTGCTCCCACTCCAGGGAACAGTCAGCGTCTCTGCACAATGCTGGCCAAATTTATATTATTAATGCCTGTTTATCTACATGCGACGATGTCGCCACCATAGATACGCTGCTAACAACCCACCTCCACCCACCTCGAACCACCCACCACCACTCACCGAGCCCGTAACCTTGCTCTATCCCTTAACACCAGCAGCATTGTCTGTTGTCTTTGTTTTCGCTGCTTTATGAGCTTCGATTAATATCCGCGTAAACAACGCGAGGTCACAAGCACACACAGCAACACACACACGCACACACACACACACATACATATATACATATACATATATGCATATTTGCATATAGTAAAGGTTGCGAAACTTAACAACCACTAGTTAAACTAACAACTGCTGTCAGACTCGACGTTAACCTGGCCCCTCCCTTATATCTTATATCTTATATCTTATATCTTATATCTTATATCTTATATCTTATATCTTATATTTTATATCTTATATCTTATATTTTATATCTTATATCTTATATCTTATATCTTATATCTTATATCTTATATCTTATATCTTATATCTTATATCTTATATCTTATATCTTATATCTTATATCTTATATCTTATATCTTATATCTTATATCTTATATCTTATATCTTATATCTTATATCTTATATCTTATATCTTATATCTTATATCTTATATCTTATATCTTATATATATCTTATATCTTATATCTTATATCTTATATCTTATATCTTATATCTTATATCTTATATCTTATATCTTATATCTTATATCTTATATCTTATATCTTATATCTTATATCTTATATCTTATATCTTTTATCTTATATCTTATATCTTATATCTTATATCTTATATCTTATATCTTATATCTTATATCTTATATCTTATATCTTATATCTTATATCTTATATCTTATATCTTATATCTTATATCTTATATCTTATATCTATTCTTATATCTTATATCTTATATCTTATATCTTATATCTTATATCTTATATCTTATATCTTATATCTTATATCTTATATCTTATATCTTATATCTTATATCTTATATCTTATATCTTATATCTTATATCTTATATCTTATATCTTATATCTTATATCTTATATCTTATATCTTATATCTTATATCTTATATCTTATATCTTATATCTTATATCTTATATCTTATATCTTATATCTGATATCTTATATCTTATATCTTATATCTTATCTTAGATCTTATATCTTATATCTTATTATCTTATATCTTATATCTTATATCTATATCTTATATCTTATATCTTATATCTTATATCTTATATCTTATATCGTATATCTTATATCTTATATCTTATATCTTATATCTTATATCTTATATCTTATATCTTATATCTTATATCTTATATCTTATATCTTATATCTTATATCTTATATCTTATATCTTATATCTTATATCTTATATCTTATATCTTATATCTTATATCTTATATCTTATATCTTATATCTTATATCTTATATCTTATATCTTATATCTTATATCTTATATCTTATATCTATATCTTATATCTTATATCTTATATCTTATATCTTATATCTTATATCTTATATCTTATATCTTATATCTTATATCTTATATATTATATCTTATATCTTATATCTTATATCTTATATCTTATATCTTATATCTTATATCTTATATCTTATATCTTATATCTTATATCTTATATCTTATATCTTATATCTTATATCTTATATCTTATATCTTATATCTTATATCTTATATCTTATATCTTATATCTTATATCTTATATCTTATATCTTATATCTTATATCTTATATCTTATATCTTATATCTTATATCTTATATCTTATATCTTATATCTTATATCTTATATCTTATATCTTATATCTTATATCTTATATCTTATATCTTATATCTTATATCTTATATCTTATATCTTATATCTTGTATCTTTTATCTTGTATCTTGTATCTTGTATCTCGTATCCTTTCTGTATAGCATTTGCATTCATCCTCATTAATTATTTTGTGCTTTAATTCGAAGACAAGTTTGAGGTATTCGATTTAATTGTCGACATTTGATAATAAGTCCATTGTTCCGTTGGGATTTGGAATATTTGAAAGGCTTTCCTATTTGCTCGACTCCTTTGTCTGCGAACGTATTTAGTTACTGGCTAAATTAAGCATAATTATTCGCATAATAGCCAGCATAAGCCAAATGCAGTCGGGCAGCTCATTGAGTTCGCCTGCATCTCTGATGCGATTGCTCCATATATATGCACCATATATGTATATATTTACATATACATTTATAAATACATATAGAGGCTTATGTACATTCATGTTCAGCATGCGATTACAGTCATTAGCCGAACGCTGTCATCACATGATTACATACAGCTGAGGCTGGGCTGAGTCGGCGCATTATTCACTCTATTGAAATTTAGTAAACAACTGTTTTTACTACTTGTGGTTTATAAGTTAGCTACACGTTGAGTCATAAACTCTGAGCTCTGAGCTGTGAGCTCTGAGCTGTTGGCTTTTGCAGCCATGCACATTCCCATTCGCATTTGCACCTCAGCAATTAGTGAGCTTTTTTTGTAGATAAAGTCGTTAGTCAAGCCTCGATAAGACATTGTCACTAATGGGGCTTTCCACTGCAGTGCCAAACCCACAACAAATGCTGTGCGCATAGATACCCTGTACTAAAAGTTCAACAGAAAATAGTTTTTAGCATGCGAGTGACTAAATTATTTGGCAGATCTTAGCTATTGGCGTAGGTCGGACACACATATATATATATATATATATATGTATAGCTGGTATATATATATATATAGTTATATTTAGAGTCACACTGAGCTGTCGCATACTTTTGCTTTTTCAGCGCAACACAACCTTGAAAATAAATAAAAAGTTGCTAAAAAATAAAACACGATCCACGCCGAACTGGAAAATGCTCTCAGAAAACGTATGCTAGCTATGAAAATTCAACTAAATGATTTTATATCTAAAGAAACGAAACTATAAAAATGAAATAAAATTTAATTATCTTTGGCAATCTGAATCTAAATATATATTATTTGTGTTTATGCATATATACTTCGTATGATCAATATCTTATGTATAGCTCAAGTTCTGCGCTCTCTAGAATATATTCTATATAGAATATTACCAAAATTGGCAAATGCCGCTCGGCTGCCAAAGGGAGCTATAAACCTATATTTAGCGCCGCGTAAGTAAATAAGTGAAAACATGTTTATTCTATTATGATAGCTTGTCTAAATATGTGAGCTCATAGTCAAACACGGCCACGGCCAGATTAAGAGATCTTGATAAACAAAACTGAGCCAATAAACAAACACAAATATTGCAAAAAAAAAAAGCAATAACAACAACAAAAAACATACATAATAACCACATTAGTAGGCAGATATAGCCGAGCAGGGAAAAGCTCGCGGAATGTTCTTATCGACTGATCGATAATGAGTGGGCGGTCGGCGGTGAAGGAAGTGCATTATGTATGTGGCTAGACTGTGGCGAGAGCTTTTCTGGCGCGAGGGGTCGGCCGACGTGACCAGCCGCACATAGTGCGCGAAAGCTCAACGACATTGGCGACGTCATTGCCGTGCGGCACAAGGCCTGGAATGGTTCCCGCTGGGCTCGGGCCGGCGCTATATAAAGCGTCATGCCGGGCGAGCGTCCCGCGCATATTGCAAATACGTATCTCCAGCAGTCGCACGGCTCGAATTGTCGCTAACACTCACACTAAGTCAACAGTCTCAGCATGTGGTCCAAGATTGCCATTGCCGGCGCCCTGACCGTGATGGGCGGCGCTCTCTACGTGAGCGTTGTGGATAACTTTGCGTATGTGGATCGCTCCCTGGAGGTGGCCATGCCCAAGGCGAAGCGTCATGCGGAGCGGGAATAGGAATAGCAATAGGAATAGCAGTAGCAGCAGAAGGATGAGCAGGAAGTGAAGTGAAGTGAAGTGGAGTGAAGTGGAGTGAAGTCAAGTGCTTGGCCAGTGGATTCGCTTGCAACTAGTTCACTCTGTGCCGTTGAACTAGTTCGTTAAGTCATCCAACAGCAAATGCTGCCAGCGCCTGGCTTGTGTTCGTACAGTTCACAAGCGTGAACCAGCAGCAAATGAACCAGTTCTTCGCAGTGCCAGGACGAACAATAAATAGTCACAAACCAGAAGCAGTTGGAGCTTTAAATTATATAAATATAAATAAATATATGTTTTTTTTTTGTTTAGTGCTTAACTATGGCTAAGTTCCTACAGTTTAATCTAATATGCATGTATATGTTGTAAATAGTTAATAAAAAAACAACTACACAAAGACTTGTTCTAGAAACATTAGAGGAATATCTGGTGCCAGTGCTGAATACTTACGCTAAGGCTCATGGGAGCTGAGTTGACTCAATGCTCGCTCCAAGTAGAAACTGTTTGCTCATGTGACTCGTGGAAGAGTGCGTAAAGATCTTGGTTTTAAAAGTGTTCAGGCTACCTCTGAAGCAGCCTCTATGCTGCAAGCCGCCCTCGGCTGTGGGCAGTCCAGTTGAAGCTTGTCGAGGCTGTGTGAGTGGAGAACGCATCAATGTAGCTAACAGACTAAGAAGTCGCAGAGCTGAGCGCTTAGGTCTAGAGTTATAGCTTTACAGTTAAAGCAATAGTTATAACTGACAGATACTCAGATGAAGACACTCGAAGCTCATAAACTACATTTGCCTTCTCAGACAGAAGTATGGAAAATGCTAACAGCTGCGATTGATACTCTTTGTTATGTACTGGCATAAGATTTAAATGTAGCACTTAAATGTGAGAATATAAAATATATATTTACATATATAAACACAGAAAGATATATCGAATAGCAAATAAATTTCTTATAGTTAAAGCTCAAGTTCAGCCGAGTTGAGCCAGTTTAAACTCGCTTGATACGTACGCCACACAATGCTTGTGCTTGACACATATTGCATAAGTCACTAACCACATACACACACACACACACACACATATATATCTATCTATCTATATATATCCCTATTGGATAAGGCATTAGGAAACGAGCAGCTGATTCGAAGCGAACATGACGTAAGCTCGTCAGTGTGGAAAAAAGAGAAAGAAGAAGCAGCGCATTATTGTTATCGTGAAACATATGTTTATATAGTATTTGCGAGCTAAGTTGAAGTACTTTTAGATTAACTTTTTGGGGAAATATGTGACCGTAAAATGCCATTAAATCAGAAGCTGCTCCCATCAACAATCATATTTACTTTCGTTGCTCAAAACTCATTTGGGGCTGGCCAGCAGCCGGACTGGAGTGAAGCGAAGCGAAATAAATGGAGCAGGGGTTAAGGTGTGGGAGAGGGGGCTGGCTGGGCGTGGCTGGCAACTCCCCTTTTTTTTGGGGGAGCTTAGGGCTGCCGGGCTGCCAAAATCTGTGGGCGCACTAAAAATGACTGGCAAGCCGCAAATACTTTGTCAGGATCAAGTTGACACTCGTTTGCCCATAGGATCCCAGCCCCAGTGCTGTCTGCTGGCTTGTGTGCTGCAGGTCTCTGTGCATGGCTGTGGCGTTCGCATTTGACACTCTTTTTTTTTTGTAGCCAAACACACAGAGAGGGAGAGAGACCTACTGCCACTACTCATCGTACCCTTAGGCCAGCTTTGCTTCCAACATGCGTCGCGTGTGGAGGCATTTTGGCAGAACAGATTGTTGAAGATTTGATTTTGGGCAGCTACCCAGCGGCCGGCACAATCGTTAATCTAATGAAAGATGACGTACACAGAGCGACAAATTTGGACCCACTCTCCCAGTCTCCCTTCCACGCCCCTCGTTCTGTCTGTTGAGTTGCTGTTACTTCATCCGACTTGCTCTGTTTGCTAATCATTCATCATGGCTCGCCGGAGTCGAGTGAGCGAGTAAAACAATCCAAACAGAGGAGCAGTGGCCGTTGGTTGAGGCCCTATCTGTATGCTGGTCAGTATTGATAGTTGGCCTAGGCAGGTGCTTGGGCAAAGTTCAATCGCTTGTCTCGTGTCGGCTTACCGTAGTCGCTGCTCACAAATTCTCACTAAAATTTGCAACTTAACGAGTTGTGGCGAGTTGTGGGCACGCCCACAGCCCACGGCCACTTGTCGCGAGTGGGCCAATAAAATTTGATTAGCCCCGGGGCCGCAGCGGCAAAATCCTGTAGGTCTCAAGATTGCAGCTGGCCAAAAAGGGCCAAAAGGGCCGAAAGGCCGCAGCAATATGAGAATTTATGTATGGCTGCCTCACTGTTTCGGCATTTGCTTACCACCTCCCACACACACACACACGGAGAGACACACACCAACACAGAAAGGCAGACAGACAGTGTGGGAGAGAGACGGCGCTAACTATTGTATATTCATGGGGCCAGTTGGCAACTTGGCCAGGATGGCAGGACACCGAAACGTGGCCCGAGGCCGAGCTGGCCAACTTGGGTTAATTTACATTATAAACTTTGAATATTTTATTGTTTGTCTAGGAAAGGACACAGCTGCCGGCAAAGCAGATCGTGAGTGCTGCTGCCTGCCTGGCTCTGTGTGTGTGGGTGTTCATGACCAGGCTGCGGCTACAACTGCCAGTTAAGACCACATTTATTGACACTTGGCAATACACAGAGCAGCAGCAGCAGCAGGAGAGTAGAGAGTTAAAGAGAGAGGGGCTGCGGTCAGCCTCCTGCTGAACAGGTCGAGCTCAACATGCGGTGCTGCGGTCAGGACGAGGCAACAGAGTCTCCTTGCTTCGATTTAATGACGGCATAAACATTTTTGTTCAAATTATGAGACAGGTATCCCTTTCCAACTGGTAGCTGCCAGTTGCCTGCTGCCAACTCCACCTGTGCTGCTGTCATCATTAGCATTATCACAAGCATCGACATCGACATCGACATCGACGTCGACATTGTTATTGGCGCTGCTTGTTAAGCTTTTAAGCATCGGGTTACTAAATAATTAAACTATTTCCAGCTGCCAGCTCGTAAACCAAATCAACCGCAGTTTCTGTCGCTAAGCTGCCAAGCTGAGGGCAAGGCTTATCAAGGAAATTGAAAATTGATATGAAAATTGAAGAGCTAACAATAAGCAGAAAATCTCTTGAGTGTGGATTGGGGATAAGGAGAATAATGTCGAAATCTGAAAGGCTGAAGGACTCCCTAGACTAATTTGTTGAAGAAAAGCCTAATAATGATGACTTAATATGAATCTCCATAATATCAGGTTGATTGTACATATATATTTAGCAAATGAAAGGAGTTCTCTATGTGCTGATTGCATAGATATACACACATATATATATATATATATATATATATATATATATATATATATATATATATATATATATATATATATATATCAATATGTATATATATTTATATATATATATTTGTATATGTAATTGGCCTTCTAATCTTATTCATAATGTCTTAACACGAATTCCCGCTTTGCTGCCTCTGACCATGTGCTTTGTCAGAATTTGGAGTAGCCGTTGCTTCGACCATTGGCAATTGTAGCGATACTGTGCATAGCGTTCTCTTGCTCCCACTCTGCAACTTCAGACACCAAGTGCAGAAACAGCTATTTTTGTCTCTTTCTCGCTTTCTTAAGCTGAGTGGCGTGCAAGTAAAACGCACGCTCACTCGGATAATAGCTTAACAGCAGCACAATACTAGCTTCCAGCCTTGCACTAATACTAGTGCAATAGCAGTAGCCAATCACGACAAAATTGCACATAATTAGTTAGCAGTAAACAGCCATGACAGAGAAGGACATATATATTTAGCTATATTAGAATACCTTCCTGCTCAGTCTTATACAAATACACAAGGGAATTATAATATCTGATTTATGCCTGACTCGTATACAATTCTGTATTGAATGAAGGAATTATAAAATGAGCTTATTACAGCTCTTAGAAAAATTAATTTCTAGTTTAGAGTTATGTGGTATTCCAATTATTGTGGCTTAGCCTCAACTTTCTTAGCTTGGCAGCGGCTTTTGTCTCCAATCTCTTAGCTCGGTGCAAATTCTATTTTATGCGTTTGCTACGTTTCTCGTCGCGTGGCATTCAAATGGAACACCCTTTCGCTTATGAGTGCGGCAACTTTCACTAAATCGAAAGCCTGAGTAATAAAAATACGAGACAATTTAAGCTGCCATTTTGCTCTTGCTACACTCCTTTCCTACTCTCTCTCTCTCTCTCTGTCTCCTTCCTGATGCACTTTGTCTTGTGCTTTAATACCAGCCACACGCGACGCACGTGACCCCGAGCAGTAGAAAAGGGAAACATCTCACCTGCCTTGGCATACCTACGCAACTGACCAAATAAATAATTTATAAATGTTTCTTATGCAAAGATTAGCAAAGTATTTCGACGCCTCCACTTGCAACACTCTTTGCAGCATTTAAGAAACTTCCCCTTCCTCACTATCTTTCTCACTTTTCCTCTCTTTTTCATTTGCTGCCATCTGACAGAGAAAACTCATTTAGGGAAATTCTTTTTTTATCACCAGCGTCGCATCGAAATTAGCCATGGGAATGGAATGGTCGGATGCATAGAATTCTCGCATAATAAATTATAATGCAAATCCGCGCTTAAGATCACAACAAACAGCGCTGGAAAAACAAGGCACTTAATGTGAGCCTCTCCCTCCCACTCACTTGGCTGGGCTGGGCCGCAGGTTTCCATCTCATTTTTTTGTTGCGCTGCGGCCGCCATTTAAAATGATAAAAATCGCAAACAATTTTTGCCCGGACCGCAGTCGACAATGACAAAATGCCAGCACACACACACAGACACACTAGTGTGTGTGTGTGTGTGTGTGAGGAGGAGAACAGAATTTTTTGTGGCCATCGAAATAGTTAAGCAGGCAATTTGTAACGCTTTGCTCGCACCAATCAATCAATCGGCAGATAAACACAGATACTTCAGATGCAAGCGGCAGATAAGTCCGCAGCATCATAATTTATTTCGCCTGCCACATCTCAAAGTATTATTCAAAGCGCACAATGAAATCCCCGCCATAACAAATGTCCGCAGATTCAGCGAAAATTTGTTATTTCCGCGTGGCAAATTATGAACTATTTGCTCAACTCCCAGTGGCGAGCTGCTTGGCAGTGGCTAGAGGCAGAGAGCATTGCCGAAAGTCTAGGATCTAACACAGATTTTATAGCACAAGTTATTCCTCATGTCTTAACAAGATGAAATCGCGCGAGGCAAACCCAAATCTGAGGCTTTTGCTCTGAGCTTTATGAACAAAACAAAGCAAAGACTGCGCTCACAACATCGAAAACTAATGGAAATCATTAAA